ACACACAGCCTCTTCCCAATATGCGTTTTTGCAATTTGCATATATGCAAAAACGCATAAAAACGGTAATTATGCGCCTGGATGTCCGTGCAGCTCTATAATGCACCACCTTTATCCCAACTGATGCTCTTCCTCCTACACGCCGGAAGGGGCCAAGGCACAGCCAATATGAGCCCAAGTGTTAGGGTACAGCGTAGGGATCATTCTTGCTAATAGCGATCTGCGAGTTTAGTGCGAAAACGCATAATCGCACCGGAGAGTCTCACTAATCCGGAGCATTGTCATATTTGCGTCCTTCCGCAACTAAGTAATCTGCGAGAGAGAAACAGTATAGTAAAGCAATTACTCTATGTTTATACGATTTCCCTTTCTCGACATTCTTCTCGAGTTTTTCTGCTTCCCTCGCTTTTTTGAATCCCATACGTGACATTGCTTCTCTCACCGCGTTTCTGAAGCTATCCAGAGTTTTCGACTTTTTAGACCTATTATCCATGAGCAGAGTTGACGATTTTGGTTCCTGGGATGTCCCCTTGGATCGAAGTTTTCGGCTGGCGCCAGGCAGTGTTGCTGCCTTGGTTCTGCCATTGATGTCCACCTTAATAACAACAAAATTTAAAAAAAAGAACAACAGCTCTAAAACAGCAGATGTTTTTGAATGAGATATTAAGGGCACCAAAAATGTTGTTGTAAGTTGGAACTGTCACATACTTAAATGTCGAGAACAAATTACCCGCAACCTTAAATTTTGGCAAACTTCTCCACAAATTTGTTTAAAGAGATTTTATTTCTATTTTATAAAAACAGTGTCATCTTGACATAATGACACGAATTTAGGTGAGAGTTGAGAAACGAAAACATGAAACTCCTAAGTCTCATCTTCTTGTGTATTTTGCCTCTAAGCAATGCAAAAATGCTTATTATAGAGAAGCATATTGTGTGTGTTTGTATGTTTGTGAGCGTACTTGCCTATGCATTTGTGTCTGTTTGTATGTTCGTGAATGTACACGCGAGTATGTATTTGTGTGCGTTTGTGTTTCTATGGCATTCTTATGTTTGTTTGTGCGTGTAACGTCTGTGTGCAAGGTTTCGATCTGAAGACCTAAAAACCTATGCTTTGAAATTTTGGCAACTTAGTATACAATACAAGATTTTAGGCGTTGTATGGAGTTCCACTGCTCACGTGAGGAAGCATGAATTTTTCGGCGGAATAATGATTTCGGAAACCAAAAAAAAAACAAAACATTGAAATCTTACAGGAATGTGCGGCCAAAAGAATTTAAATTCAACCCTCATTCACACCTACTCTCATGTGCAGGCAAAGTTCAGATTGGGCACTGTGCCAGTTCAGAGATAGAAGGCCGTAATTTTATCAGGATGTTGTCCTTGTATTGCTCTTTTTAAAGTTCAGAATTGTAGCTTGCTAGCGAAACATAAAATAATGAACCAACTTCTCTAACAGTACGTCATGCGCTTTCTCGTAAAAAACGACTCGACACAGGAGAATGACAGATTAGTGCTAGTGAAGTTGAGTTGAGTTTATTTAAATTAGGTCGTGTGTGTGAAGCAAAGTGCATCTTAGGCTTGTTTCTATGAAATTCAGGAATTGCCCATTTTGTGTATCCGGCATGGGACTTCCGCCATACTAGTCAACAACGATGAGGGATATGGAGTTCCATGCTGAGTTTATAACGGTCTCACCAATAAGTCTACGTGTACAATCATGATGGATGATTTTAGTGCTAAATCTGTAGGAGGAGATTAGGCTTGATTTGGATCGGCTGGTAGATGTAGTATTGGC